AGAGAGAGAGAGAGATCAGATAGATGAATGAAATTAAAAATGGTGAGGAGATAAGCACTTACAGGGTCTCGAAAAATGGGTTTCGTATCGTCTTGAACTATTCTGAAAGGGGGTTTCTTTGCTGATGCTACCTCTCCTTTGGATATGGATAGAGGGAACTGAGCTTCGAAGCCTTTCATGGCTTCCATTCAAGAAGGGTTTCAGTAAATTGGGTTCAATTAATGTGCTCGATGAAACCCTAGATGGAAGTGATCGTTGTTCATATATTGGAAGAGTATACAAATTGCTACAGTATGCGGCCCATTCTCGTGGTATAAAAATGGGAAAAGTTTAAATAGAGCCGAGGCCCTAAACAGTCAAACTAGAGCCCACTTCAAAAATTGCACTTGAAGAGGTTGTTTTGATGCCCAAATATCCTCAAATTGATCATCTTGACTCCAAGATGCATTGATATGAGAACAAAAATGAATTTTAAGTCTTAGAAATAATGCATCTTATTACGCATTTTTGGACCGTCAATATTAAAGATTTTCAAGTTTTCATAGATATGCTTGATTTACATTATTTTTGAAGCTTTAAATTTTATAATTAAAGATGAAAGTATATTTTAAAGCTATTACATAAATTTTCAATATTAAAACTATATTTCTCGATACCATTTGATAGTGTGCTTTACTTTAATTGTTTGGAGCCTCGACTCAATACATGCCGCTCCCATAAAAAAAAACAGAAGAAGAGTTGGAGGGAATTTTTAAACTTTGAAGTTCAATCTTAGTCTAGCCCCTCATTTTCCTGAAAATTATCCACCGCTCTTTCCGCCAGAAAACGTTTATCGATTGCGTATGCTGTGCTCCAGCGAGATCACATTGTTTATGTACTCCCTCAATCAAAGGAATTACTTAGAGAGAATTTTTCGATCTTAATTTTTGGGAACCATCTAAGAATTAGCAGATGATTATTTTCAAATAAACGAATTTGAATATTTAGGATTTAAAAAAAAACGGTTAAATAACTAACTTTAATTTTCTAGTGTCAAAAAAACCTCTCTTCTCTCAATGTTTTGACAGGTCGTGTCTCTCCATCCTCTCTCTACAGTCTCCTGGTTCTACTATTTTAACTCTTGTTATACATGAATTTTTGGGGGTTGGATTTGAAGGTGGCGGATCCTGATCGTGTGTGGCTCGAACTTGAGCCTCGCACGCTCAGAGAATTCGCACCCAAGAAAAGGGGGAATAAGAAGCAAAACAAGACCTCTGATGTCATTCATGGCGGGATCGCTACCTTTAGATAGCCCCCTCTGGTTTTGGAAAGAACCCATTATAGATTTTTCTTTCGACTCTGAACCCAACTTGCCAGAAAATCCAAAGGATTTGCCGAATTTTTCGAACCAGGCAACGGAAAATAATGAAAATTTACTTGGTTTCTCAAACCAGTTGCCGGAAAATGTGCGTTCTTCCTTAGTTTTACATCCATTTCAGGCTGATGGTTTTTCGGCTTGGGGTTTCGAAGATGAGCCCTTGGCTGTTGAGCCGCCCAATTTCGATTGCTCTCTCAATTTTTTTAATAATGAAAACCAGAATTCACAACCGATGCAAAATGGAGAATTTGAAAACTCTGAATCTTGGGATGTAAATTTAGCATTTGGTGACCCGAATTTGGGTTCTAATCAAGATGAATCAGAGGGCCGTAAATGTTGCCATATAATGAGAGAAATTGTTCATACTAATGGTAAGTTTTTTTTATTTTTTTATTCAGTATTTTTTCTTTTTCCATTCAAGGTCAAGAACAAGGTTTAATGTGAAGGATTCTAATTTGAGTCCATGTGAAAAAAGTTAATAACTGCTAATGAGGTCTTCAGTTTTTTTTTTTCTTGGGAAGAGGATAGATGCATGAAGATTTTTTATCATCATTGTGGGAATTTTGTAAGTAATTTCGAATTTATGCTTTTAATATGTTTGCTTTTTTTTTTTTTCACAGGTTCTGATACAACAAAACTTGAAATCTATGGGAGAGAATTTGTGGTGACTCATGCAGTGATGCAAGTGCAGTATGGTAATGGTGGGATCCCTTCTTCACAGGAGCAACGATTGTTTGAGTAAGGATTTAACAGGTTGTTTGCAAGCACAAAAACATGTCTTAGTCCATGAAATGCCCGTAAAAGATGTAGGCTTTTCGTGCTGAAGTGATTAGGATTTCATGAGTCTCTCTCACACACATAAAACTCAAGAGATGTATACGATGAGAACATATTTTTTATACAAGAAGGTCATAATTATTGTCAACCGCTGGATGTAAAATTTGGATGGGTCTTGATGTGTCACTAAGTGAGCGCAAAGTCCAGAGCATATTTTCTTGAAAGATGTTATACATTTTAATATGTTAGGTTTCACACCAATAACTAAAAAAAGTTGTGATATTCTTGTGTAAAAAATAAATGATCTCATAATATACAATCCCTACCAACCCCTCAAAACTTTCCCTCTGTCTAAAACATACACACGTTTCATATGCAACATAACCTCTCAATCTTGAACTTTTGGGGGTTAATAGTAAAGGCTTACAAGTAATATTAAAAAAAATTATACTCAAATTCGATATATTTTTTTTTTTTTCGGGTAATTTAATGGCGGAGACAGACTATGCCCATTTCTTCAAATAGATTAGGGAATTAGCTTATTTGAAAGTGTCAGTGGGTAGTGTCAGCAAGGCTAGAAACCACAACGTGGTAACTAGGTATGGGGGTGCTATCACCATGACTCAGCCCCTTTCATATCGTTCTAATTCTGTATGTGCCATACCTGCACGATGCTTAAAAAGGAAAGTCACGCTAGCACTAGAAGTCGTTATAATATAGTCTGAGTATCTATTTTCACCCCTGATTACACAAATTTGAAGCTCAAAAAATAGTGGAGATTTGGCGAATATGCGAATAATTGAAAATAATGTGTTAAAGATCTCAAGCATATCGTCATGGATTTTTGATCAAGCATATCGTTATGGATTTTTGAGTTAGAATCCATGACGGTATGCTTGATCACCATTCTCTAAGTGTGGTCTGGTCATGTGATTTTTCATTGATTTACTGCTGAATTACATGCTTAATTGAGATTGCACTATGTCGAATTCAAATTCGATCGTCTGCTGAATTACATGCTTAATTGAGATTGCACTATGTTGAATTCAAATGCGATTGTTTCAAAATGGCCTTTTGGATAGTTTTACAGAGGAATTGAATGATGATTTAGGTTCACAGATATGGAGCAATTGAAGCAATTTCTACTGCAATATGCACAAGTGAGGAGGGGGGAAGGCTTTGTAGTGATTCAAGATTCTCTCTCTTCATTTTATGAGGCCTTGTCCACAAGAATGGATGGGGAACCAAGCTCAAGCTCCATGTCAATTCCCCTCTCCAACGAAACTACTTCTGGTACTCTCTCTCTTTCTCTCATGTAGGGATGCCAATGGTCCGGGCTGAGGTTGGGTTGGGCCGCTTTCAAACTTCCGGGCTGGGTTCGGGTTTTGAAAAAACTGGGCTAGACTGATTTCCGGCGATGCGGGGGGTTGGGTGGCCACGTGCCTCCATCCCTTTCCCAAATGGCAATTTTTTGTTTTGAAAAATATTGTTTTTATTTGTTAGATCCTGATTGAAAAAATGTTTTACTATAGTTTTTTTTATAGAAAAGGTTTTTATTATGAGATGTAGACTTGCAAAAAAAAATTTATGGGAGAGGGATCTTAAATAAAATAACAGGCCAGGCTGGCCCAGCCGGTATTTGGGCTTAAGGCCAGCCCGACTGCCCACCCATAATCTATTTTCGGGCAGGGCCTAAAACATTTTCATTGCAGACAACATGGCTCAAGGGGACACAATTCAGATACCACAAAGCGTCAACAGCACTCCTGTGATAACCCTAAAGAGTAACATCGCAAGACAGGTAGGTAAAACCCATGATCGTAGTTTTCTCCTCTTCTTCTCTCTCTCATTTTTTTTTTTTTTTTTTGAGAAAATACAGTGAGTTATTTTTTTTTAATTTAAAATGTTGTTTTACAAAATGGGATCGGAATCGTCTGATCCAAATCGATTTTCATGAGGACTAGTCTTATTCTCTCATTATATCGGGAGCCAAGTAGCAGACTCTTTCAAGAACCAACCGATTTGTTCCACGTTTGTATTGCTTCTTTTAATTTTTTAAATTTTTATTAGCCAATTCTCTCATGTGACCCGTTAATCCGGATCTGTGTTTTGTTAATCCAAACCAGCTTACTAGATGGCCAGTTCGCCTTGCCGGTCTAGGTTTTTAAACATTGATTTGAACTCTTTGAAATGGTGAATGCATGAGAATTTCGTGGTTTTTCCCAGTTCGCTAAAATTGTATAGAGCAGCGGTTCTAAACAATTAAAGTAAAGCGCACCTTCAAAGTTAGCTAAAATTGTATAGAGCATACGCTCTAAACAATTAAAGTAAAGCGCACCTTCAAATGGTGTCGATAAATGTGGTTTCAATGCTGGAAATCTTTGTGATAGCCTTAAAATATATTTTTATCTTTAATTATAAAATTTAAAGCTTAAAAAATAGTGCAAATCAAGCAAATACATGCAAACTTAAAAATTGATGGTCCAAAAATACATTACAAGATGTTCCAAAACTTGAATTTCATTTTTCTTCTCATATCCATGCATCTTGAGGTCGAGATGAACAATGTGAGGATATTTAGGCATCAAAACAACTTCTTCTAATGAAAATTTTGAGGTCTTAACCATCAAATTAGATTGGGCATCAAAAAATTTTGAGGTCTAAACCATCAAATTAGAGCACATTATCGTCAAATTGATCATCACGACCTCAAGATGCATGAAAATGAGAGAAAATGGATTTCAAGTTTTGGAAATAGTGCATCTTGTAATGGATTTCAATTTTCAAGATTTTCATGGTTTCATAGATCTACTCGATCTGCACTATTTTTAAAGCTTTAAATATATTTTAAGGCTACCACAAAGATTTCCAATATTGAAACCACATTTCTCGTTACTATTTGAAGGCCTCGGCTTTATTGAGCTAATAATTATTATCAATCATATAAAAGTGCGTAGTTGGGAATGTATCATTGATTAGGTACAAAGTCCAAAATAAAATTTCTTAAATATTGTGACGCACTTCAGTCTCTCGGATATCGCATCTTATCTCTACGAGTAATTATGAATTCCTTATACCAAAAATAGATAGCCTTGCATTATAGTATACAACTCCTGCGGGCTGCATCACACACTTGTACAATATGAGGTCGAAAGGTATAAACCATCTATCTTAAAGATGGATGCAAATAGGTGGTCCATCTAAAAACACTTGAAACTAACCGTATAAATATTTTCTTACTAAATTTATTTTTGAAATAAAATTCGATCCTAATTTTTAGAGAATATATATAATATTTAACATGAAGATCATAAATATGAAAAAATAAGTAAATTTTCAAGAGTTTCATTTTATCATAGATCTACTCAATCTGCACTATTTTTTACGCTTTAAATTTTATAATTAATCATGAAAATATATTTTAAGGCTATCACAAAGAATTCCAATATTGAAACCACATTTCTCGACACTATTTGAAGGCCTTGGCTCTATTGAGTTAATAATTATTATTGACCTTATAAAAGAGTATAGTTGGGAATGTATCATTGATTAGGTACAAAGTCTAAAATAACTTTTTTTAAATGTTGCAATGCACTTCAGTCTGTCGGATATCGCATCCTATCTCTACGAGTAATTATGAACTCGTTATACCAAAAATAGATAGCCTTACATCAGTCTCTCGGATATCTCATCATATCTCTACAAGTAATTATGAATTCGTTATACCAAAAATAGATAGCCTTACATTATAGTATACAACTCCTCTTATATTTTCCTTTAATTGTATGATGCTCGGATTTGTTTTATGAACAATTGTTTCGGGCGGGCTGGATCACGTTTGTACAATATGTGGTCGAGATGTATAAACCATCTATTTTAATGATGGATGCAAATAGGTGGTCCATTTAAAAACATTCGAAACTAACATTACAAATATTTTTTTAATAAATTTATTTTTGAAATAGAATCCGATCCTAATTTTTAGGGAATACATATAATCTTTAACATAGAGATCATGAATATGAAAAAATAAATAAATTTTAAAAAATATAAATAATAATTATAGCGGCCTGCATTTCTACATGTGCGGCGGGCTTGGCCTCATACTAACCTCGTCTTTGTTTATTTTTGTTTAGAGAGAGAGAACTGGAAAATTGAATTTGGGTGACTTGGCCAATCATTTCCACCTCCCAATTACTGCGGCCGCAGAGAAACTCTCCATTTGTCCGACGGTTTTGAAGAAAGTATGCCGTAGAAATGGTATGCCTCGATGGCCACATCGCAAGGTACTTCTTCTTTAGTTTTAAGCAATGATTTAAAAAAATGGACGAGTGACTCGGATTGTACACCCCAAAAATTAGTCTGGATTGATTAATCGTTGTATTACTATGTGGAACCACCAGTTCCTTTGTAGACTCAGCCGTTTTTTTATATTTAATTAGAATCAAAACTGGGTGATCAATTCTCAAGTTAGACCTTGCAATTCTGTGCTGACTTGATTAAAAAATCCTATATTTAGACAATCAAAACTGGGTGATCAATTCTCGAGTTAGACCATGCGATTCCTTGCCAGTTGTTTTCCTATATTTAGACAGAATCAAAACTGGGTGATCAATTCTCGAGTTAGACCATGTGATTCAGTGCTGACTTGACTTAAAAATAATCCTATATTTAGACAAAATCAAAATTGGGTGATCAATTCCATGTAATTCGGTGCTGACCCGATTTAAAAAAAAACCCTATCTTTAAACAGAATCAAAACTAGGTGATCAATTCTCAAGTTAGACCATGCGATTCCGCGAAAATCAAATTTTTGTACCTTTTTTCGCCAGATCAACGATAAAACACATCCTATATTTAAACATAATCAAAACTAGGTGATCAATTCTCAAGTTAGACCATGCGATTCCGTGAAAATCAAATTTTTGTACTTTTTTTCGCCATTTCAAGGATAAAAATCAAATTTGGTATGCCACTAACCAAGTTCAGTCTTGGCTCTTTTACCCAAAAGAAAGTTTTCTTGGATCTGGGTCAGTGCATGGGATAGATATTCATGTGAGGATCAGTCCAAAAAAGAAGAAAGAAATAACAATAACAATAAATGTAATATGCACCACTGGTTGAATCGGCCGGACTAGATCGCAAGTTCTCAAACAAAAGCTAATAAATGTAATATGTACCACCGGTTGAATTAGCTGGACTAGATCGTCAGTTCCCAGACGAAACCTAGCAATCCCAAAGGAACCTAAGCAATTCCTAGTTCCCACAAGGAACTCCCTTGGTCTACGCGAATTCTAGATCCATATTGGTGCTAGTTTCCATATTGGTGCTAGTTTTTTAAACTGTGCTGAACAAGTGTATTTAGAAATCATGGGATGACAAGAATCACATTATTCCCCGTCAATATAAATTGAAATCAGCATGCTAGACCGATATGAACTGAGCCATTTTATCCATTGTACTAAAACCCAAAAATGTGGATCACCCTTTTGTTGAAACGATCTGGTTCAAAAACCCAAAAATGTGGATCACCCTTTTGTTGAAACGATCTGGTTCAATAATTTTCAATCTAGATTCTTTTGGATGATATAGAAAAAATGGAATTAGTTTTTAAAATTTAAAATAAAAAAATAAAATAAATCAGCATGCTAGACCGATATGAACTGAGCCATTTTATCCATTGTACTAAAACCCAAAAATGTGGATCACCCTTTTGTTGAAACGATCTGGTTCAATAATTTTCAATCTAGATTCTTTTGGATGATATAGAAAATATGGAATTAGTTTTTAAAATTTAAAATACTAAAAAATAAAATAAAATAGGAGATAACTGGACAATCTGACTGATCCAAATTGCCCACTTCCCTGATAGACTTACTCGGTTCTCTGACTTAGCCTTAACTAGGTAGCCATGTCCGCGTTGCCTTAACTAGGTAGCCATGTTCTTGTTGCAAAATGAGGAATGGAACGGGCTTATTAGATAAATGCCGCCAATATCCCCATTTTGGTATTATGAATAAAAGTGCAAAAATAGGTACCAATTGCCCATCATCATCATTATAGTTTTTTTCCAGTTAATTAGGGTCAGCTATATGAATCCTGATCCATGATTGTATTCTATTTAAGGCCATACCTTCAGTGAGGTCATAAGTTCCTATATCTTTTCGGACTCCTTCCAATTGTCCATAAATAAAATTAAAAGAAAAATATTGGATATGGCTATCGGCACATCAAATATAGGCTTAGATTTATAACAATGTGACTCTCCATTTTATATGCTACTTTTTTGGCAGGTTTTCTATGCTTTTCCTACATAATAAAACTTATATACTTCCCCTAATCTAACTATCCATGTCCATTATGAATGGAGGGCTAAGATTGTCTCAATCAAATTGTCACGTCTCTACACTATTTTATTTTTAATTTTTTTTTATAAACTATTTTAACACCAAATTTTGGACATCCAATTCTCTATTAAATTCTCACTAGCTAAAAAAATAAAAAAAAATATTTTCAATAAAATAAAATGACCCAAATACCTTTGAAAGTTTCAAGGGTATCTTAGTCATTATATTTTGTCGAAATATTATTTTTAATATTTTTTATAGGTGCGCCCCAATGAGAATATGGCACGTACCAAATTTCATATTCATACAGTTTGTATAAACAAAACTAAAAATAAAATAGTTTGAGAAGTCAGATCTAAGATCAAACGGTGAGTGGCTCTCTTGATCAAAATTGGACGGCTGGATGGCAAGAGCAGCATAAATCTTCTATGCTGTATGGGTCCCACTGCTTTTTATCTAAAACAATATCTTTCTCTTTCATAAATTGAAGGTGATGGCAAATGAATATAAGTCAAATGAATATAATTGTTTCATTATCTTTTGTTCAGATTAAAAGCATAGAGAGGAGCATTTCAAATCTAGAGCATACATTGCTCACAGAGAACGGGGATGGAGCTGCCTCCATTCGAGCACAAATAGAGAAGTTGAGAATACAGAGAGCTAAGGTTTGTGCTGGCCATGATGAACCAACTTGACCAAGGTTTGGATCTTTCACATGCTATACCAATTCGGGTCAGTTGAATCAGACATCTCGATCTTCTGGACTGATAAAAAATCACCAAAAAATAAAATACTGGTGTTGAGAAATTATAGAGAGACTTGGATCCCCCATTTATTACATCTCATCCAGATCGGCCGTTTTCCAAACAGCATGATCAAGAGATCACATGCATATATGAAAGCTACGTTATTCTTGTCAAATTCTGTTTGTATATCATAAATTTGTTGAGTTTGTGAAAGAATTCTCTCTCCCTCCCTCTCTCTCAAAAGAGCTACTCATGTAGCTCTGGTTCAGCCACTAATATTCACAGGAGTCTTAATTTCTCCATCGACATTTTTTTTTTTAAATTAATCGTGAATTTCATTGCCTCAACGGAAATACAACAAAAAGTTACTGGAACGATGAAGCCATCGATGATGATTGGTGCACTTTCCCTTTAGCTAATACAATGTACACCATGATTGGTGCATTCCCCATGTACACCATCAGCCTCAAAACAGACCCTAAGTCTCCTTGGCTCCATTAATATATACTCATGTTATGATTTTCTTCTTAGTAATATATACTCATGCTACGAAAAAGTAAGATTGCACCTTCAAAATCATCTCAAAAATATGGATTCGAAAAAACCGTTAATATGTACTCATGTTACGATTTTCTTCTTAGTAATATATACTCATGTTACGAAAAAGTAAAATTGCACCTCCAAAATCATCTCAAAAATATGGATTTGAAAGAAGAAAAGTCATGTCAGGAAAAAAAGAAACCTAAAAAATATGCATCTTATAACATATTATGTGGACGGATTTTCAGTACTCGTAGATCTTTATAACACATTATTTGAACGGTCTATTTTCAATACTCGTAGATCTCCCATATCTGCACTGTTTAACAATGCATCTTATAACATATTATTTGGTCGGTCTATTTTTAATACTCGTATATCTCCCATATCTGCATTGTTTTTTTGGAGCTGGTAATGCAAGACAAGATGGGGTATAAGACATTCCTATAACGAGTAAGATTGAGAGAGAGAGATGAAGGGGAGAGAAAGAGAAGGGAGTTGGTGTAGGGGTGACAATGGACACAAACCCGATGGGTAGACCCTATTTGGGTCCGGTATGGGTCCAAAACTTGATATCTTGGACCTGAACACAATTCAAGTCTGAGTCGTATCTTACATTTTTCAATTTATGAAAAAAATTATTTAAATACATCGATATTTTAATTTTTAGGTCAGATCAGGGTACGCTAACTTCGGTTCTTGCCACCCCTAAGTTGGTGATGGAGTTACTAATGGGATTTATTGTAGTAAAAAATCGAAAGAGTTATGAAATCGAGCCCCATAATCACAACAACCAATGGCTAATATGAACATAGAAATCGTAGAAGGTAAACAGTTGCAGATCTAGGTATGTAATAGTTCTTTTTAGATTAAAACCCCTTTCACCCTAAAAATAAGTGTCCATAGATCCACAAGTACCATATTTCTAGTTTCAAATTTTATTTTCGGTGTTAAAAATTGATTTTAGATCCATCATGGGGATTTTCATTGTCGAAAGTGCTTTCGAGATGAGGGTTTGAGGTGAGGCTTTATTTTGTTTTATAAAGCATAGGTCTTATATATATATTTTTTCCTTATATAAAACTTCATCCAATAAATATAGGAAAAAAAATATACAAGGGTGAGGCTCTAAACAATCAAATTAAGGGGCACCTCAAAAATTTACTAGAATAGATTTGTTTCGATGCTAAAAAATCTTCCCATTGATCATCTCAACCTCAAGATGTATGGACATGAGAAAAAATAGTTTGCAGATATTGGAAATAGTGCATTTTGTAATATACTTTTTAGGTTATCAATTTTCAAGATTTTCAAGCGTCCATAGCCTGAAAATTTACTTTCATCTCTAATTATAAGATCTAAAGCTCCAAAAATATTACAGATCTAGCAGATCAGATCTGTTTTATTTTTGGTAGTCTTTAGTATCAGTCGTGGGTAGGGCGAAGGCACGACAACGGGGAGTAAGGTG